CCCCGGGCCCCGATTCCGGCGCGCCGGGAATCGGGGCTCCGAAACGGGGGATTCCCCGCCCCCCGGCTGCATTTGGCAGCCCTAGGGGGGGGGCTATGTAACTTACCTGGCTGCTTCTTGCTCCTCGTGGCCCAACTGAGGGCTGCTGGGAGCAGGGGGTGGGGTTTGTTGCTTGTGCCCGCCCCCATGGCTCCTTAATGCCGGAGCTCCGCTCCTGTGCGCTCCCGCAGGAAATGACCCCTGGTATTGACAGGTAGAATACTAAACTGTACAATTCCGAGCTCCTCAGAATCAGTACTGCTGAATTACTGGCCTGATCTCAGCCTATCTAAACAGAAAGCCGAGTTAGCTGCCTTGTTGTTAATTGCAGCAAAGACCTTGATTGCCCAGCTCTGGAAAACAAAAAATACTCCTACGATTCAACGCCGGTTTACAAAACTTTGGGACTTGGCCGTTATGGATAAGTTAGCTTCCCAGATCGTTACGGCAGAATTGCCAACACAGAATAATATTTTTTTAGAAAAATGGTTCCTTTTTTTAAAATATGTCTCTGACTCGGTTAATAAAAGTTGTACGCTACTGAAGAAATATGTTGATGTTATGTTTTACGAAATAAGTTAATGTTATTGTTATTAGTTAAACGGTAAACTCCCAAAGAGCCAGTCTGGTGTAGTGGTTAAGTGCGCGGGCTCTAATCTGGGAGAACCAGGTTTGATTCCTCACTCCTCCACATGCACCTGCTGGATGACCTTGGGCAAGCTGTAGTTCTGTCAGAGCTGTTCTCTCAAGAGCAGTTTCTGTCAAGAGCTCTCTCAGCCCCACCCACCTCACAGGGTGTCTGTTGTGGGGAGGGGAAGGAGTTTGTAAGCCGCTCTGAGACTCCCTTGGGTAGTGAAGGGCGGGGTATAAATCCAATCTCTTCTTCCTCTTCTTCTTCTACATTATTATATCAAAGTTATATCAAATAAGAATAGTTAACATAAGTTTGTATTGTTGTGAGTTAAACTTGTTTTTGTAATATGTTTGTTGGTATTGAAAAATTAATAAAAATTAAGTTTTAAAAAATTAAGTTTAAAAATAAAATCTGGCAAAAGGGGCTCTGATTCTCACAAGCTCGTACCCGAATCTACGCTATCCAGGGGTGTCCCAAGACAGTTTTCTTTCCCAAAGAGTAACGTGGGAATACAAGAGTTGCACGGAGACAGTCTTCCATTGCCTGCCTCTGCGTAGCAACCCTGGGCTTTCTTGGAGGTCTCCCATCCAAGGACGTACCAGGGCCAACCCTGCTTAGCTTCAGAGATCTGAAGAGATCGGGCTAGGCTGGGCCTTCCAGGTCAAGGCAAGAGATGAACAGAGGTGGGTTTGCCCTTGCCTGCCTCTGCGTAGCAACCCTGGGCTTTCTTGGAGGTCTCCCATCCAAGGACGTACCAGGGCCAACCCTGCTTAGCTTCAGAGATCTGAAGAGATCGGGCTAGGCTGGGCCTTCCAGGTCAAGGCAAGAGATGAACAGAGGTGGGTTTGCCCTTGCCTGCCTCTGCGTAGCAACCCTGGGCTTTCTTGGAGGTCTCCCATCCAAGGACGTACCAGGGCCAACCCTGCTTAGCTTCAGAGATCTGAAGAGATCGGGCTAGGCTGGGCCTTCCAGGTCAAGGCAAGAGATGAACAGAGATGGCTTGCCATTGCCGTAGCGACCCTGGGCTTCCTGGGTGGTCTCCCCTCCAAGTCCTAATCAAGGCTGACCCTGCTTAGCTTCCGGGATCTGACGAAATCAAGCTATCCTGAGCCATCCGGGTCAAGGCAAGAGTTGAACAGAGGTGGTTTGTCAAGGCTAGCCTCTGTGGAGTCAGCCCGGACTTCCTGGGTGGTCTCCCCTCCAAGGACTAACCGGGGTGAACCCCGCTTAGCTTCCAAGATCCGATTAGATCAGGTTAGCCTGGGCCATCCACGTCGGGACAAGAGACGAATGGAAGTGGGTTGCCTTTGTCTGCCTCCAGATAGCGACTCTCAACTTCCTCGGGGTCTCCTATCCAAGTACAAACCAAGGCTGCCCCTGCTTAGCTTCCGAGATCTGGGCCATCCAGGTCAGGGTGTACGTCGAATGTTTCCCGGCAAATAAGAGAATAGGGTAACCATTGCACTCCTTTACACATCCAAGCCCTGCAAAGCTGTGGACAATCTTCATAATGTGCGAGAGAGAGAGAGAGAGAGAGAGAGAGAGAGAGAGAGAGAGAGAGAGAGAGAGAGACAGCGTTGCGCTGCTTGGCTTCTGAGATCTGATGAGATTGGGCCAGCCTGGGCCATCCAGGTCAAGGCAAGAGATGGACAGAGGTGGTTCGCCATTGCCTGCCTCTGCGTAGCAACCCTGGGCTTCCTTGGAGTTCTCCCCTCCAAGTACTAACCTGAGCTGACCCTGCTTGGCTTCTGAGATCTGATGAGATCGGGCAAGCCCGATCCAGGTCAAGGCAAGAGATGGACAGAGGTGGTTCGCCATTGCCTGCCTCTGCGTAGCAACCCTATGCTTCCTCGGAGGTTTTGCATCCAAGTACTAACCAGGGTTGACCCTGCCTAGCTTCCAAGATCTGACAACATCGGGCTAGCCTGGGCAATCCAGGTCAGAGACAAACAGAGGTAGTTTGCCATTGCCTGCCTCTGCATAGCAACCCTGGACTTCCTTGGTGGTCTCCCCTCCAAGTACTAACCAGGGCTCACGCTGCTTGGCTTCCAAGATCCGACGAGATCAGGCTAG